TTTTTTTTTGGAGAATAGTAATTAAATATTTAACTTATGAAGAGTAATATTGGAGGTTCCTTAACAGGTGGATATAGCATACTTTGATAATAACTGCTGCTTATTGATTCTTTAAAGTAATTCTCGAACACTTCTAAAAACAGTACTGTGTGTCTGCTTTTAAATTATCCACTTTCTCTGTCAGATTTCTGATATTTAAGGTCCTAGGGAACCGAATGCTTTTTAATTTATTTTTTTACTTTGCTGCTTGCCTGCCTGCCTTCCCCTCCCTCCCCTCCCTTTCTCGCCCCTTCCCTCTCTTCTCCTCCCCTCCGTTCATTTGTTTGCAATTTTTTGAGTTTATTTGAGTGAAACTGAAGATATATGCCAAGGAGCAAGATATCACATGTTCCCACTATTTGCTTTATTCTTGCATTTCTAACTTATTAAGCATATTTGAGGGGGATAAAGATATCACTGCCATCTTTCCCTTTTTTAGTCATATATTATTAAGAATGTGTATTACTTTCTTAAATTCCTTTACATAGGAACCTAAAAAATGAGATCCTAGAAAAGATGATTAATTCATTTATTCAAATTTTAAGTCAGTGTATTCGTGCCTGATAATGTGTGAGATGTTTTGTATAGGTTAGTTCATTTAATTTCTATAATAATGTGATTAAGACTGATTTACCACAGAATTGAATAAAAACAGGGATGATTTGGTAAGAGCTGCATCTATTTATGTATATATGTATGTATGTATTATATTGTCACATTCCTTTTATACTAATATATGTTGCATTGCAAATGGCAGAACAGCAAAGTCTGATAGTTTTTCATGTCTTGATAGAATAGATTCTCTCATGGTCATATGTATGTACTTATCTCAAACTCAAATATAAATCAGCTTTAAGTAGCCTTCTGTTTTGATATATATTACACACTTGGCCAAACAAGGTATGTCTATTGTTATTAGTTTGTATGTCTAATAAAAGGCATATCTTGCATATGCTGCACTCCCTCTTTGAATTTTAAAAGCACAAAAGAATTGGTTAAAATAGTGAGAGAAGTCGCCAAGTTAGGAGGTTAATTTATGTTAAAAGAAATGTTCCTGTATTTATGGAACCACTGCAGTGGAGAATGCTGTTTTTTGCTTGTCATATCAATCTACTTATTTAATTTATTGCTTTGTAATTTATTGCTTTGTATGTCAGTTGTTTTATATAAATTCCTATAGATTTACTAAAGTAAAAATGAAGTGTTTTCAGAATTTTTATCTAAATTATTTATCAGCAGTAAAGAAGGTAATATTTTAAGTCTTGTGATGTCTCCCTTCTTACAAATAACTGAAATTTTGAGGATCAGACTTGGTAATATCTAAGGAACTATAAAAGTGCCATTCTTAAGGTTATATATTTCCTCCATCTCCTAGACTCTCCTAAAATATATCTCTTCGTAATTATTATCTTTTAAAGCATAAACAAATGCTACAGATATTTGAGAAGTTTGTAACTGAGATAAGTTTGTTAAAAAATGATATGCTAGACTTTGAGTTGGTAACTGAATTTAGGCGATGGCTAGATAGATGTTCACTATTCATTTTTCTTTCTATTGTATGAGTTTGAAATAGTCGATAGCGTGGAATTAAACTATATATATCACACTTATTTTGTTTGTTTTTCTATTTGAAGGAATTAGCTGAACAACTTAAAGCCCAACTTGAAAAGGCAAATAAATTTAAAGAAACTATAACACAGATATCAAAAAAATCTGGGATAGAGGTAAGCAATAAAATTTTTTTTGTAAGTATATAATTGCTTTGTGTAATACCGCTATTTTAGCAGTGGTAATATTTTAATATAAAATGTATGTATAACTGTATTGATATGTTTGTGTATATATGCTTGTTTTTAAAAGTTATTTTCATATGTATTCTCTTATTTTCCACCAGTGTGTCCTGATGGGAAAAAGCATAGGCCAGGGAGACCTGGTTTTGTTCTGGACTCTGTCATTTACTGTTTGACCTTATACAAGTCAAACTGGTTTTTAAATTCTACGCCTACAGAATGAGAGACTTGAGTTTGCGTCCATTTTATATAAAACAAGTTATTTTGTTCCACGATTCATTCATGCATCTGTTAATGAACAAAGTAGATAAAAACACCTGCCTGCTTGGAGTTTCATTTGGGAAGGGAGAGAGAGGCAATAAATAATAAAAATAATAAATTTTACAGCATAGTAGAAAGTTATACATCCTGTATGGCAGTGTAGTGAGGATCTTGAGTGCCAGGTATGCTGATTGCTTGGGGTACACAGGCTAATTCCATTGAGAAAGTGACATTGATATAAAGACTTAAATTAAAGCAGTGAATCTCTGTGTATCTGAGTGAAGAGCATTTCAGTCATTAGGAACAAATTTTTAAAGGTGCAAATATGGGAACATGTCTTATGTGTAGGAATAACAGCACGGAGAGGCCAGTGTTGCTGGAGTGGCATGAATGAGAGAGAGAGAATTAGGAGATCCAGGTTGGGGAGACTGTGGGAGGCCAGTTCATATTAAACTTGAAAGTCATAGTAAGGAAGTGGGCTTTTGTTCTGGGTGAGATGAAAGCTGTAAAGGGTTTTGAGCAGAAAATACATTTTGACAGATCAACCTGGCCTTTTTGTTAAGAACAGATTGAAAGGGAATAAGGGTGGAAGCTAGAGTCTAGTTAAGTTTTTGCAATAATACACACAAGAAATGATAGTGGCTTTGACCAAGATAGTAGCTGAGAAGATTGTTAGAAGTGATTAGATTTTGAATATGTATAAATGTTTTCTGTATATGTTTTGAAAGGAGAGCTGACAGAAATTTTATGATGTTTTAGATGGGAGAGGAGTAAGAGGTAAAAAA